AAGTGAGATGTTCAACAGCATAATATCGTTCTTCTCTCGTCTATCGGAATATTTGTCATATTAGACAACTTTGATTGCTTCAGCGATCTTGAAATAGCCAGAAATTTTCAACGGTTCTTGCGCAATACTACAATGGGCAAACCAACATATACTCTATGAATATGAATGAAACAATTGATCTCATGAAGATAAGTAACCTTTTCGATTTAGGGTCTAGGAACTAGGAGTATTCCAATGTGACGTATTATTCAACAGTAAGGTGGGAATTTCGACTAAAAGATACCATCAAGAAGTAAGGGGTATGGAAAGTTTGATTAAGTATCTAAACAAGATATGAGAGGCTTTATTCGTGTAGAGTGGTGTAACGTATAATTGAAGTAATATATGGTAAGAAGCCTACCGTCTGGAATGATGTGAGATAAGAGAAGAAAAACACCTACCAATTTAATTCAGTGGATAGAATCAGAATTCCTTTGGGTCTATTTTCAAATTAAAGAACATATATTTCTCAGTAAAAGCATTTTGTTGTTATGCAATTACTACACACAAGAAACATGGATGATCTAATTAATGAGCACCAAATGGCGTGATAGGTAAAGCTTGGTGATTTGAATCATAGCTTGGCAATCATCAACTAGAACTTATCTTGCTTGAACTTCCTCGAAAACATGGAATCCTAAAACCGCAAAAGGATATGAAAAGTCGGAAACCTCCTCACCTGCTTAACTGCACCATTATTTGAAGGTCAAGGTTTAGTATGTGTCGTTAAGTGTACAAACCTTGACCTCAACACATGTAAGTAGTGTCAAAACAGTCTGATACAGGTTTGTTAAAACAAGTTTAACTCTTATTCTCAATCTTTCCTTCAGGTGTTGAGTAGGCTGTAGAAGATTCCATAAACTTATTCAAATATGATCTCGCTAAACACCAGAAAATGGATGATAGAAGCAATAAGCAAGAATCCTTGCTTCGAATAAGAATACTTTCTCAGAAGATTCTAATTACAAGGACCCATATGATTTTACAACATATTAAATATCAAGCAGAGGAATGGATTCAAGCGATGAATTGTAAAATAAATCCAAAAAAATGGTATCTACATGATGAAATTAGTGCAATTTTTTAAGAAAAAAACTCGTTTCATTGAGGCTTCTTTTGTATAGGCTTGCCTAAGAGAAACAAGGTTCAAAATCAGGAAAGATTGACTTTAGTCTTTTCCGATGTGTATCTTTTCTAAGTTAGAATCATCTCTCTTGGCTTATTTTGAAAATAATATCCTTCAAATAGTGAGATCTGGTGACAATGGATTTTTTATCAACACTCCGTCTGTCGAAATTTCAGAATCTGACCTGCATGAAATACTAATTCACATGTAACCAGAGACGATGTGGGTTTTCTTCAACCAAGAAATTTCTGCTTTCTTAGAAAGCGAATGCTACAACACTACACAAGGTTATATGACAACATTTTGGATGTTAGTCATGAAATCGAATGATCCCTGAAAACGAGTTTAGAGTTGGATAAGTACTTTTCTTGTATGGTTATAGTGAATAGAATGGTCAAACGTACGAAGTTTCTACTGCATATAAATAGGTTTTTTTTCATCATTTTTGTGAATCAGTTGGAAAATATATTTCAGATATCTACTTTTCTTGGATGTTTGCATTCATATACTTCATATATGGAGAAGAAGAAGTTGAATAGTTTCCTATAAATTGCTATCTCAAGGTGGTAAAGTATGTAAGAAAGAATCTCAAATGAGATTCTTTTGACCCTTTAAAGTGACTTAGGAGATCCTAAGAGGTCTTCTAGCTCAATATGGCAATATGAAGCAACAAATAACTTCTATATGGTCGCATGAATCTTGCAAATTACTTGAAGTTCGTTGAAATTAGCTAGAACACGTGAATAATTGAAAACATTGCATCGTTTGTTTCCATTCAATTGAGATATTTGAACAATGTAAAAGGCAAGATGAAGATTTACAGCAATACTAAGATGTACTTTCACAGATGTGACCAGATTTTTGATAGTTTTTATCTTTCAGATGCAACCATAAAAATCCTTACAAGAACTTTTACGAATCTTATCAAATTTTTTTCTAGCTTTTAGGTTTCGAACACAACCATGGAAATACTCACAAGTACTTTCACAGATGTGAAAAGATTTTTTGTTAGTTTCTACGTGTTCGACGCAACCATAAAAATACTTACAATTACTTCTACGAGTCTTTTCAAATTGTTTTATAGCTTTGAAGTTTCAATCACAACTATGGCATCACTTACAATTACTTTCACAAATCTAATCAATCTTTTTGTTAGTTTGTAATTTTTAAACACAACCATCGCAATAATTACGTGTACTTTCAGAAATCTAATCAATCTTTGTGTTAGTTTGTTACTTTCAAACACAACGAGGGCAATACTTGCACGTACTTTCACAAATCTGATCAACATTGTTTGATAGGTTTTAAAAGTTTCAAACTCAACCGTGGCCATGCATAGGACACAAAGTACTTACATAAACCACAATATATGTGTTTGAAATTTGCAATGGTATGATCACACCATGGCAAGGCTGAGGAAACACTGTGAAATGCACCGATTGAAAAATTAGCCTTTGAAATCTTGGGATGAACCTAAACATGAAACTTTATCGTTGTAGTACATTAATCTAAAAAGGAAGCCATTCAAATTTGTCATTAGTCAAATAAGTTGACGAGAAAAGAATTATCCATCTGAACACAAACTATTGACACTCTTCACATCTTGTGTGCAAACTTTATGGGTCTATAGCGTCGAAAGGGTCATTGAGCTGAGATAAATCATGTTAGTAGTGTGTAACCACCTAACATGATTCCGATTAGTAATTGCGAGCGAAAAAAGCGAAGGATTTATTACTTTCATCCTATTATACTATTTTACTGAAATGTTGTTGACGATTGTGAAATGTCAACAAACCTGAGATTGATCACAACTCTCTGTTTCTCAGAGTGACTCGATCAGTAGCTCAGCAGCAGCAGCAGACAATGCACGGCAAGAAAGTACTATGCGAATGATCGCTATGGAATCACTTATGTCACAAGTCAAAAACTCGAGCAATCTGTCTAGACTATCGTCTCGTGAACTGAACACATTGAACTAAACGATTGGTAAGACGGAGGACTTATCTGTTCCAAGTTGAAACTGCTGAAATTCAAACAAAAATTTGAAATTTCTGACGTAACCTCCCATCCAACTGCAGGAGCCTGGCGCGGAGACGCGGAGAGAAATTCTAACGTTTGAAGAAAAGCAACGTCAAACAAACGTCGATGTCGTTGACCGTTGGTGATACGAGAGTTTCATCGCAATCTCAAACAAAGTTTCCGTTCATGTAACTCCGAATCTCTTCTTCGATAATGAGGTAAAGTTTCACTTTCAGGAGAAAACATCGTAACCTCAACGAGTGTGTGGGTCTATGGACCATCTAAGCTTTTACGCAAATGAACGTAATCTCAACGACAATATTCGTTCCATGTTCTCGTGTGTGCGACTATATACCATGTAAGCTTTTGCACAGTGTCATATTGAAACATTGCGAAATGAACACAACATTTCACATACTTCGTATCTCGTGGATATGTTTTAATTAAAGCTCAACATTATCGATAACATGTTATTGAGACGGAGAGTTCAATAAGTACTGAACTATTAGTATTGATAACATGTTATCAATTACACTCTCATGATGCTTGTCATCATGAAATTATGCGAGGAGAAATTACAGACCCAGGGAATCATCCTACTAGATTTAGCACAACCAGAAGTAAAGCATAATACGATCATAAGTTGTTTTCAACCCGATAATTACATAGTCTTCGTGAAAAAATCAAATCAATCTTCATCGTGGTTTCATATGAACACAATGATATATGTAATAAAAGATGGTAGAGATGTAGATATCGTGCGATGAAACTAAGAATTGAAATAACAAATATTGCCACACAACATATCCTACTGTTTTGCAATTCGTGATAGAAAATAAAATCCCTATGTAAAGATTCATAATAAATGTTCCTTAGATACTTAGATATTAGCATGATGTTTGAAAAATATGGCCGTTTTCTTATCCATATTAGATTACTATAATACAATTCGAATGTAGACTTTTTGATTACTATGATATTTTGTTGAAAACTGTTTACTCAACAAGGGATCGTTAATGAAATCGCGGTTTAGCCCTCAGTCATCAGATATCTTAGCATTAGATCCCCTAATGTAGTACTTTCATATTGGAAATATTTATACCAATTTTTTACTCGATGAAGTATAAATATACAGAACATCAATAATCAATGTTTATGGTTTCAGTTTATGTATATGTATTTATATTTACAGCATCTAAACTTTTAATCCATGCTCTTCTGACTTATTTCTAGATGCAAACTTAACGACCTCAGAATTCAGTGGCTAGAATATCCAATGTTGGAGTGAGCTGGTATTGAATGTACTAGTACATCTGGCTTTGTTCCTAGAAGATTATGTGAAAAATCTTTACACTAGTTCAAGAGAAATAAAGAACATCTCAGTCTTTGAGAATCAGATATTTGTATGATATCCTATCTTATGAAGTTTTTCATTTCATAATACTTGTGTTGATACTTTTAGATATGAATGTATTAGTGTGGTCCGAGAAAACCATCCTTCCTACCTCAAATCTTTCCAACCTCAAACAAAAGCTAATACAGGAGAGCTCAGGTTTACTTTTTCCATCAAACATGTCAAAAATATTTGTGTCATTGCAAGAGATACATAATCAACTTCATTTTTCTCCTGAATTAATAGATTTCTATATACCATTCAACCATTGTTGTTTCAATTGTTGACCATTTGCCTCAGAGATTGAAAAGTCAGAGGGAATTTTCGTTTGCTTTCATATGAAAAAACCACAAAACTCATGACCACACTGCTACAACAACGAATTATCGAGGCAACAAATGTAGTCTACTAATCTGAATGTATTGGGCTATAGGTAGTTACAAACTTAACTACCTTGACATTTCGTATCACTACATTCAGGGATAGACATGAAATATAAATATAATCGTTTTGTTTTTGTCATGTAAGCATCAGAGAGTTACTCTACTGGATCTTACCCACTGCATACCTGTGGCAATGGGATCGAAGATTGCTCCAACTGCTTCTCAAGGCAAGTTCATGCCGCGTATACTGAATTTCGCTTATTCTACTTCTAATGAAAGAGATGTACGGGAGTAAGTTTGTCGGCGTGAGTCAGTATATGATCTTGCCTTGTGCATCAAGTTTCCCTTCCGAATGTCGTTTAAAAGCCCTCTTGCGACCCGAAGCGAAAGCAGTCAATACCTTTTCGGGGGCAATAAGCCGAGAGAGAACACAATATCTGGGCGAGACAGATGCTTTCAATTGGAGCTTTTTTTGCGAGGGATTACTACTGGGATCACCATCCGCAATTGCGGATGGTAATCCTAGTCCTCTGCAAAAAGATGATATGAGGTTTTACCCTTGTTGATGCTGAATCTACAGAGCGTGGTTTCTCCCTGACTATGTATGAGAACCTCTTCGATGTTATTTACAGTAGAGTGGTACGTGCAGCTTCAGATCAGCCTACGTACTCGAGCCTGAGCCTGAGCTTCACATTTTGTTGTCAGCAGATATACTGTCCTTGGTATTTTCGACCTCACCCTGAGAGCTTGGTTTCACGTTTTCTCCCTGAAATGCTCATGGAGCCGGACATGGACATGGTCGGGAACAGGAAGTGTGATCCTAGCGGCAAAGCACGGATGACGAACTGGTGATAGGCGGCAGCCAAGGTAGCTCCGATGAAAGGACCGACCCAGAAGATCCACTGCGCAAATCAGATGTCCCAAATTATTATCCATGTCACTGCTTTCAGGTAGAATATTTATGCGAATGCGAGAGACTGGATCTTCGATGTCTGAGATTTCGGTCAATGGGAAGAGTTTGACGTAAGTTGAGATACTATGACTCACCTGGTCATCCCAAGCTTGCTGGTGGCTCCACAGAGCAGCCGGGCCGAAGCTTCGTGCAGGATTGATTCCACAGCCAGTGATGGAATGGTCGCCAGATGGACTGCAAGCCTGATGGGCAATGGGGCGAGCACCTGCGAGATCACAGCGCCTCCAGACATCAAGGTTCGTCTTCAATTTGGACCACTTCAACATGATTTCTGTGACTCTGATCCAGTTTCAGAAGATGCTAGTGGATTCATCTGGGAACTCACTCTTCAAGAAATCTCAGATATAATGGTTGTTGAACCTACCGGCACATGCGAGTCCCTGGCTTTACGCTTAGCATCAGTAGCAGAGTAGACCACGTAAACGAGGAAGAAAGTTCCCATGACTTCTGCTGCAAGACCAGTGCAGATGCTGAAATCTGCACTGACCGTATTCGTCGCGCCGCCCAGCACCTGGAATGGAGTTTTCTGCAATCCCTTCACGAGTCCTGCTCCACATATACCCCCGGCCATCTGGGCAATCATGTAGATGAAAGCATGAGGAACTGAAAGCTTCCTACCCAGAAGTAGTCCCAAAGTAACTGCGGGGTTAGTGTATCCTCCTGCCCACACCAACAGATCAATCGTTGAAGGGAATTGATAAAACTACTGCCATATATGACAACCATGAAGAATGGACTTCACTCTGAGAACATATTCATCGTACCACAATATTTTGACCACAACATCATCATCAAAACGCTCGTAGCTACAACCAGAAGGGAAACGATGGAGCCTCGGACGATCTGACTGCAAGTGCTTCTAGAGCCGATTGGCAATGGAAGGGCGAACCTGAAACACCAGCTGTGCAGTAGACAAGCACAAATATGGTGGCTCCGAAAGACCATGCAACACCGAGAGCTCCGACTCCATCGGGTCTGGTACGGCCATTTCCAATGGCAGCAGAAACGCCGATGTACACGAAGAGGAGAGTGGCAATAAACTCAGCGATGGCAGCTCTATAGAGCGACCAATTATAGAATTCATCGACAGTCCACAGAAGATGTGGCTCTGGCTCGATATAGTCCCTGTCCTCAGTTCGTGCTGCGCTGCCCCCTCCGATCTTAATATTGCTGGCATCTGTTTCATATGGTACTCCCATCTGCTGGACGCCTGCCATCTTAAGCCCAGGGGCTATCTATACGAAGGCTGCAACTTTCTGTCGACAGGGACCGAAGAGCTCAAGGCCTACAGTTCTGGTCCACGTCAAGCGCAACAAGTGATAAGAGCATCCGGTCAACGAGCGGAAAATTCCACTTCAGCTGAAAGGTCAAACCGATTCGAAGACTGTCATCAAACTTGGAGGTCGTTCGTATCTTGGTAGGGATGCCTGCGCACAAGTCCCTGCTACAAATGAAATGCGTCGCAAGTACGGTTTAGACCCAGGATAATATTCGATTTGATCTGAACGATGACATTCTGAGTGGAAAGTGCGCTCGGCTGGTCTGTGCAAGCCAGCAGCAGCCAGCGGTCTATACTTTTTGTGCTTCTCCAGCAATACACTCCTATGAGGGTTATAAGAGGTAGCACTAGAGAATCCAAAAGATACTGGACCACTAGTTCTGGTTTAGCACTTTGAAGGACCAAGCTTTACCTGAGCACTATAATAATAATAATAAAGTGATATATTACTACCATGTCGGTGTCATCGGGTCTAGTTCCGATCAAGTGATAGTGATTATTGTTATCACTATTATTATCACTATCACTTTAGCTCATGCTATTATAGTGTTCTGAACGAAGAACTTTCAGACATGGTTATGGTGTACAGCACCTTTTACGTCTGATGATGGTGTGGTTCTCCTCTGTTGACCTTCTTGAGATGCTTCTAGTGTGACTCTGCTGACTTAACCTTTGACTTCAAGTCCATTACCTGCTGGATTTTGATATGTTCCCTACTCAGATCATTTCATCAAAGTTTGTCGGTTTAGTGTCAACGCGATACTCGAACAACCATGATGCAAGTCATGTCTAAACGCTGTCCTGATCTATCATCAGCGTCTACTTACCTCCATACTTGACCTTAATGTGATAGCTGGTGTTAATCACATTCTGAGGCTCGTAACGAATAGAGTTTGACGCGAAGCTGATGTTGCAGCTTCCCACGACTAACCATATGCGGATGCAGATTTATTAGGCAGGTGACTAAATGTCATGCTTTAGGCCTTTGCTCAAATGCGAGAGCCTTCTATTGATAAGGTATGAAGTCTTCGGGTAGATTTTCTGCCTCTTTAATCATCAAATGACTCAAGATTTAATTGTTTCATCTTTTGTTAACCTTTTTTGTGAGTGAAAGGAAATCATTTCGTTTTAGATCCTCTTTATATTTCATGTCATCCCAGAATGTGTTGATACTAAATGTCAAGGTAGTTATATTTTCAATTGCCTATAACCCAATGCCTAAACTCGACAAATTCGCATTTGTTGCCTCGTCTTTTTGTTGTTACAGAAGTGTGGTCATTCATTCCTTCTTTCTGGTTTCATCATATGAAACCAAACGAAAATTTTATCTCTCAGGCAAATGAGCATTCAGAGGAAAATGCTGAAGTTAGATTTCTAACAAAAATTGTTCGTTATAGACTAGATGTCAAACCCGAAATTATAGACGTTGGTAGGCTTTCTGCATAGAGGGGTCACACTATTGCACGCAAGCTCTGCAAAATTACTTTAATCTACTCAATGCTAGTTTCCACGTAAAAATCTTGGATCTGAGGCAAACCCTCTCTGCCGCATTCCTCCATCTACCTTAGAAGCATCTGCTCTTCTCTCCCAATTTCCAATGCTTCTCTTGAGCTCTCCTAATAAAAGAATTTCCAACTCTGTATTCTGAACAATGCATTTCGCTCGTCATTGTTTCTCATTGTGGGCGTTGTCATCTCCTTTTTTTATGCGCGACGGCTACATTGGTTAGAATCTCGGAATAAATAATACACAGGAAAGGTGCGGTTCCCTCTGTCGCTCGATGTCCTGCACATGAGCATACCCCATAAATCTGAGCTTGAAAACATTAAACCCATACGGCTTGAAAATTATGAAGTTAACTCAGTCCCTATATACTATTTGTTCAAAACTGAAGACATATCTTTGCGCTTGGGGCAATGACGCAGTTAATGAGGTGAAACCGAGACGCGTCAATTGCTGGTTGAAAACTATTTCCAAACCCCCGCCCGTGCCTTAATCGGCGCGTGCGAATTTCTGGAAGATCCGACTTTGTCAGGATCTCACAATCTAAATAAAATTGGACCCGGCTGACGATACTCTGATAGTCTGAGTTTGTGTGAACTACTGATTGTTTCGAGAGAAAGCAACGTTTTCCCTGGGCCAGTTATACTGAGAAGAAGTAAGGTGGCGTGAGCAGATGAGAAGTCATACACCGGACCTATCGAATTGGACGAATTTGATTCTCCGACAGGAAGAAACCTGCAAACGAGTGCTCTGTTCCAATTTCTGTGCTCTTGCATGTACAGAGAGTGATTCTCAAGAGCATAGTGCAGGTGCAAATCAAGACTAAGCTTGCAATCTGTTCCTATAAAATGGAAGTGCGCGAATACTCGGTATAACTACTCAATCCGAGCTGCATAATACAAAAGGCAATCATCACTGTGGATATGCGTCACAATCTTAATAAGCTGCAAACCTCGTTAAATGAGAACGAGGTTTGCAGCTTATTCCGAGTTCTTCTTATATAGTGCGGATTGGGGAAGTGGATGTGGTTGAGTCGTATTCTCTAATGAAGATGTTGTTCTCACCGGTGATACCACGGTCATATTTCAAATTGCCGTTAACAAAATCGAAATTCGAGAAGGTGGAACAGAATCACTTTCTGAAGCAATGATCCTTCAGATGAGAATCTTTTATTAGAAGATCAATGTCTCAATGGACTACGCTCTCAACAGTGACATAATCTACAACACTGACGTCAACCAAACATGTGATCGTCACGATCTTCCTGGAAGACAGGATGCCACTCTGATGTGAAACATTCGATCGTTGTTTGAAGAAGCGCTCTTAGACAATTGCTTAAAGTTTGATGCGCGACCCAAATGTGGTATTGTCGTTCCTGCGAACATCGGCAAGTCTGGCCTAGTCCTCACAGGATATGAACCGCACTTCACTTGCTGGAGTTTGTCAAGGCCCAATCAGCTACATGTGTACACGGAACATATCTCAACACGTGAGGCATTCCATAGCACGGTGAGCTCGGCGTCGTCGGGTCTAGTTTTGATCAATCAGATCAGCCTCCGATAAGGAGTGCCGATGAAAGACCCAGAATAAGAAGCAAGAAGGAGACGGTGCAAATCAAAATGCCCGATCCTTCATTTGAGTAATGTAAACTTATACCGTCAAACCAAACCGCTACGTTTTGCAGCTACGGGTTTCCAATTTTCAAACGAGACGTGTCGTTCAAGATTATTCTTTTGAAACTCATAAATTGATATACAAAATCTCAAATCTGTAAACCAAATTTGAAATCTGAAATTTGTGACCGTGGATTCACCCGTATATACCACAGTTAGCTAACTAAACGACTCAACTACTACCATCTTTGTTTGTGTCGTAGAAGGTTGCGAAATGAATGCGAATTTGAAACGGGAGTCTTTGGCATGCCAGACATCTTCCTCTTGCATGGCGCCAGCAGGAACTCGAAGTAATCATGACGTTTTCTTTACGCAGGTCAGAATCTTCATTCTTCTGTTTTATGATTTGCGTCCGTACATTCTGACATAATCTACAACACTCACGTCTTGTAGATTATGTCCGAATCTATTGATAGAGCGTAGTCCAAAGATTTAGCAGTGCCTTTGAGCGGAAAAATGTAGTATTATGATATGAGTATACTACGGTTCTCAAAAATTAGAGAGATGTGACATTATGGAGATGATACCATCTGGTATCATCTGGTAGCAACCATCCTGTATCAGCATACTTTCTAGAAAGAGCAGAGGTGTTAGTGCTATTTTGAAACTATTGTATTTTTAATTTCATTATTTGGAACCTTGTTCCCGCTTCCAGTTCGTCCTCGCTGATGACTGTCTCAAGGCCCACGTGATTGAATTGAGATGTGCATATCGTGTAGCTCATGAGTGTCCTTGAACATTAAATATTTCAAATTCAAGCTCACATAATTCTTGACGCTTCTCGTTACATGCCTTGCTTCCTTTTCATTACCGACGTCCATGCTGCGGTGGATTGAATAGTTACTGTAAAGATTGACTCTCAAGTAAACAGCACGCTTGGAAAACTTCTATAATCATCTTTTTCTATTCTTAGAATTGAAACAGGAACGCACAGGGATTCCTCGATCATAAGTTACAACCTCTTCTGGAAAGCTGACAGAATTTCCAAGATGCTGGGACCGAATTATATCTTCTGGCCACCTTGAGTGATGTGCCACACTGCAGCAACAGTTTTGTATGGTATTCATAGTACATTGTCCAGAAGCACTCTATGTAGACCGCTCTTCGCATTTTACATGACTTGATCCTATTACGCTCAATTTGCTGCTGAGAGTGGTTCTAAGAAGTCTTCTCGGAAACTTCCGTTTAACTCCGACTGTCTAGGTTCATGGCAAGGCATGAGGTTTAGGAGGTGAGCGAGATCCTCAGGAGTTTTGAACAACCTCAATCACACCAAAGAAAAAGCATGTCACACTCGGTCTGGCCTGGCTGTGAGGTAGTCCAGAACCCTGGACACTATTAAACTTCTCCTTTAGTACACAGTTCGATAGTAAACTGGATACCCTGGATACCCTGGCTTCAAATCAAATGAGTGCATCACCATGACCTGCAAGAAGTAAAATATCTAGTGAACTTTTACTCTGTACTGAATGCCAGATGCAACGATTTGTAATGCACTGTAAACTCCTTAGAATCTGATGGTTCTTCACAAGAAAAATGTGCGTGTTAAACAATGAAAATGGAAGAAGTCAGGAGCGAATCAATCCGTGCTCCACCGTCAGATGCACAGTACTGAAGAATACTTTGGAGAAAAGGGACTCAATTCTGGAAACTGAGCAACTGTTGCTGAAGAATGTCCGAGTCATTAGATATCGTCTAAACCATTACAATCAACTATTTCTTATGATTCTTTTCCAAGTATTGGTCAGGTATTGTAAGAACCCAAGTTGATCACACTCCCGCGTTATATAGTTTGCTGCCAAAGGGAAGATCAAACGGCAATCACCGACATTTTATGCCCGCATTAGCTCGGCATCCGCCTGACTTTTCGTCGCCGCATCCTCCCTCTGCTGCTGCAAGGCTTGGTATAGCTTCTATGTGACCGCCAGGTGTTGTCGGAGGGCGGTGTTCCTATCCACATATACTTGGCACCTAGAGGCCCAAATGGCCACCTTGCTCCTCGTCCTTCGCTTGATAGTCTCCACATAAGACTGCGGTTTTCCAGTACCCGCGTACTTGGATGTCTTGCGATCCAGATATCGCAGGAGTGGGACTATCTGCTCGCACAACACCCCTGTTGGCGTTTTCTGCACAGAATCCGCTTCCTGCTCTTCCGAGCTCGTCTCATCCTCAGTCTCGAGGATTTCAGTCGCCACCGAATCCCTTGGCGACTCCCTGGAACT